CTGATCTGATGAGCTGGGGTGCACGTGGGCACTCAGCCAGCTCACCCCAGCCTCGGATCGACTCCAAAAGGGTCTGAGATCTACCAGTGGATCGAGATCCACTGGTTGGTGACCACTGTGCTACACAAAAACAAACTTGAACCATATGCTAAAAAAAGTTGGTGGGGGGAAAAAGAGAACTAAGAAGGAGGATGAAAAAAGAAGCAGGGACAAAGACAGCAGGGAGGCTTTACCTTGAACTTGGAGGGGATGAAAATGTAATACTGCTGCAGTTTTTCAACTGTCTGATACTTGGAGGAAACAGCACATTTTACAGGGTCCTTCAGAGCAGCACGCTGGAGTTTTTGCACCTAAGTGAACAAAATCAAATTATTAACAGCCAGACATCGAACCCACAGTAGCAATACTCCTAAGATGTATCTATACCATCCTGACTTCTTTTACCAAGGAGTCTGTGACATTCCTTTGCCTTGGAAAAATCTGAGTCAGCGTACACTACTGTGCTCTCACCTTCTTGGTCATAGTGGCAGAAAAAAGAAATGTTTTCCTGTCTCGAGGAATCACTTTCAGGATCTTATCCACCTGTAAAGAAAGGAAAATGAAAGCTGTTAAGCTCTGAAGAAGTCAAGACCAGCATTTCAACAAACAAAATGCTTCCGACAGAGCACGCAATTATAAGGGCACATCCTAACAGGTCTGATTCTAGAAATAGTGGCAACCATAATAAAACCTTTCCTCCTTTTCCAAAAGAGAATGAATATTAAGGGTGTAAACACCTGACAAAAGCTTGGAGTCCTTCCAAAGGACAACAACTGGTATTCTGTAATTGTTGTGTGAAAGAGCTGAGAACAATTTGCATGCAGTAAACCACCGGTTCCCAACCTTTTTAATACTGCGGACCAGCAAACATATTTCATAGACATTAGGGCTCAATGGGACCTCGAAAGATCAAGTCCAGCCCCCCGTCCAAGGGGCAGGAAGTCAGCTGGGGTCATAGGATCCCAGCAAGATAAGCATCCAAATTTCTCCTGAAGGTGTTCAATGTAGGTGCTTGAACCACCTCTGATGGCAGGCTATTCCAGATCTTGGGGGCTCAGACAGTAAAGAAATTCTTCCTTACGTCCAGCTTGAAATGGTCTTGCAGTAGTTTATGACCGTTCGACCTCATCACCCCTTGGGGCGCTCTGGTGAACAAACGTTCCCCCAGATCCAGGTGGTCACCCCTGATAAACTTATAGGTGGCCATCAGATCACCCGAGCCTGCGCTTTTCCAGGCTAAAGAGCCCCATGGCTCTCAGCCTGTTGTCGTAAGGTCTGTTTTCCTGACCTCTGATCATGCATGTGGCTCTTCTCTGGACTCT